CTGATGCAACTTTAAGAAAAACAGCTTTTAAGTCTGGGGCCTCACTTTCTTCCTGCAGGGAAGAAGGGTCAGGCTGAGGGCCCTTCTTGCTCTGATGTTCTACAAGAGGGAGCACATGGTAGTGGAGAGGACAGTGGGCTTAAGGACACCTGGATACGTTTCCCTGAAACTCTAGGAAAGGACAAATCTAATCTGTAGTGGTCAAAACCAGATCAGCGGTTGCTGGTGCCAGAGTGAGAGGTTGACTCAGAAGGACACAGGGAAGGTTCTGGAAGTTCTGTAGCTTGAGTGTGGTGAAGAGGGCCACACGGTGTATATGCTTGTCAAAACTCATCAAACTGTACACTTAAAATGAGAACGTTGTGGTGTATGCAAATCATATCTCAATGAAACCGATTTTAAAATGAGAATAGGAAAAGTCATAGAAATGGAAGGTAAATCAGAGTTTCCCGGGGGTTGGGGCTGTGGGGGAATGGGAAGATACTGCTTAATGAATACAGTCTGGGGTGATGAAAGTGTTGTCCAACATTGCAAACATAATTAATGGCACTGGATTGGACACTTAAAAGTGATTAAAATGGCAAATGCTATGCTGTATATATTATACTACAATAAAAAAGAAAGCTAAAAAAGAAAAAAAAAAAAAAACCCGGTTACATCCAGCTCTGCACTGTGCAGGCTGAGTGACCTTGGGCAAGTCCCCAAGCTTGGAAGAGGCCTGCTTCTTTGCTCTAAGTAGAGATAGGAATATCCAGTGTATAGTCTCCATGTGACACCCAAGTGAGATCTTGTATGTGAGATAAAAATGACCTGACAGACTGCCAGTTCTTCTGTAAATAGAAGCTTTTATTACCCTAATTCTGTGATTTTACACGGCTCCTGCACATGAGACCATAATTCATACTGGAAATAATCTGCAAACATGTGGAAGTCTCTTATCCACAGAGCGGTACAACCAGTTTGTTTAGATTAACTCCACATTCTTTCTGCACCATGTCCCTGGGTACCCCAGCGCCATTATTACACTTCCTAACGGAGCCCAGGGGCAGGAGCTCTTAGGTGCTGTGAAAGAGAAGCCACCTTTAGGGGATCGTCAGGCCTGAAACCGTCTTCTGCAAAGGAAGGATAAAACCACATACCCATTATGGACATTGGGGAGGGTATGTGCTATGGCGAGTGCTGTGAAGTGTGTAAGCCTGAGGATTCACAGACCTGTACCCCTGGGGTTCATAATACGTTATATGTTAATAAAAATAATTTTTTAAAAACTATTAAAATTTAAACAAGAAAAACATATACCCAGGCAAAAAGGAACTCACCTTTCTGTAGAAGGCTCTGGGCTAGATAATAGATATATTTTTTCTTCTTCAATCCTTACCACAGCTCTGAAAGAGAGGATAGCCTCATTTTACTAGGGAAGAATCTGGAACTTAGAGGAGTTAAGTAACCTACACAGAGTCCCTCAGTCCTAGACTCCTTCACTGCCCTGTATAGACCTCTGTCTGCACTGCATCCTCTGATCTTCAAGTACGTTCCACACAGTGAGCTCCACCATGCCCCAGTTCTGAGTGAGAACACAGTGGCCCACATCACCTGCAGAGTCCAGGAAGCCTTTATATAGGAGCTGGGTCTGAAAGTTGAACTCCCGTTGCAGTACAAAGGGAGTCCCCCAAGGCATAAGGAACTGCCTGAACAGAGTCTCAGAGCCAGGACATTCCTGTCATGTGAGGTGACCGGAAGGTGGGGCATAGGAGAGAGAAAGGAAGCCGATGATGCTGGCCATGTTGGAAAGTATCCCTGTTGTGTACCATCCCAAGGGGGTTGCATTTTCCTTGGGGTAATAAGGAGTCAGGATGGTTGTTTTTGAGAAGGAGAATGGCATGACCAAATCCATTTCAAAAAGATCATTCTGCCAGAGGCATAAAGACATTGAAGAAAAAAAGAAGGAAAAAAAAAAAAAACATGATTTAGGTGACTGAAGGTTGAGCTTTGATTCACGCTCTAGAAGGGGCATTTATTAGCTCTAATGGATGATAAGATGAATGGGACTCATGTGCCCAGCTAAGGAGATTTGACTTTACCCTTTGGGTGATGGTGAGCCTCTGAAGGATTTGAAGGAGGCCAGAGATGTGGTCAAAGCTGCCAGAAGAAAGCGAAAAATATCAACAGGGTGCTGTGTTAATGTATGATTCCATTTAGGCTTTTGGAATATTGAAAATAGCCTGAAGACCCCATCATGACCTTGCCAGAAGCCTGGTCAGAAATTTCTGGATCCAATGATTTCTTACTCCCCTCCAGCTCTGACAGTCTAAGATTCTGTAACAGGGAAGGTAAAGCTATTGCCAAAACATATAATGCATCACGGTGTCAGACTTTGGGATTATCTGCTGCTTGGGGTTTTCCACACCACTGCTCCCCTTCATTAGTGGGGATAATTGAGAGTTGACTACAGTCCTTACTGCTATTGTGATGGGTATTTGAAGCTGAATTCCGGCAAGCAGGAGATGTGTGAATATTTATCTCAGCTGCAGAAAGTTAATGCAGTGTGGCATTAATTACCCTGTCTGAGCCTGCTGTCTTCTTCTGTTTTTAGGTGTCATTCTCAGTTGAATAAATTAGTTTCCAGAATTAGAAGAGAGCAAACTGTAGGGTGAGATCAAGACAGCCTGACTTCTTAGGGTATCCAAAAAGAAGAGTGGGCTGAGCAGTTCTACCCAAGAAAGATAAAGACACATCCTCTAGCCTGGTGCAGGCAGACCACATTTCTATTCCCCTGAACTTGTACTTGACATCACTACTCTACCTTGGCTCCACCCAGCCCCACCTGCAGAACACAAATACACAGTATCACGGTGGGCATTGGCCTTGAAACAGGGATTTGAAACATTTCAAGGCATTGGCAGGGGTCAAGTGTATAATAACTTGCTATAGATTTTGCTAGATTAGATTTTGAGAGAAAAAAGGCAAACTGCAGTGTATTTAGGACAAAGTGATCAGAACAGTGAAGAAAGTAGAAACTATCATAGTCATTCGTGAATCCAACCAGCCTTCATTGAGCACCTATTATACTAGGGCAACATATGTGGACAAGCAGAAGGGCCTGCCAAGCAGTAACGCAGAGGTGGGATATGGAATAATGGGCTTCCATATTTTCTGTCATCTGGCATTTGGGTGAAGGATTACACATACTTTTTACATTCTCAAGAGTAGTATGAAGTGTCACGGGTGGAAAGCTTGGAGGAACAAATCAGTGTTCTGGGTAGTCTGTTCTGTTACAGAATAAGGGGCCTCAAAGGATAGGAAGATGCTTTTCCCTGGAAGAATTGTCATGATGTGGTCCAGGAGAGGTCATCTTGGATTGGATGGCAGGAGTCTTGGATTCTATCCATGACATGGTTTCTAAGTAACCTTTGGCTCTAGAGAAACAAAAACTCCTTTCTCTAGGCTTTACATTCTTCATCTGTAAAAGGATGGATCTGGACAAAATTATCTCCTAGTCCATTCCTACTTTATAGTAAAAGCAAGCAGTATGATCTATTAAATGCATGAAGTGCAGCAGATGACCTTGCGATCACACCCCTTCTCAGATCTTCAGTTGTTATCTGCAAAATGAGACAGATAGAATAAAAGCCACTCCCAGGACCATTAGGCAGATAAAATAAGACACGAGGGTGCTTTGTGAACTCCAAGCACTCTGCAACACTACAGACCCGATGATCGGTCTTTCCTTTTATGTGACAGTTGTCATAATAGACTAGAAAAAGCACTGGGCCCCACTTTCAGATCTCATGTCCCAAACTCACGAGCTGTAGGACCGTGAAAAAATTACTTAACTTCTCTGTATGTGATTTCCCATTTGCAAAGGAGATAAAGCATCTGTTTGCTATGGCTGCTGTGATGAGTTAAAAAGACAATGTACTTGAAGATAGCTAGCATGGTGCCAGATACATGGTCAGGGCTCCCAGAATCTCAGTTCAATCTGATGATTCAAGAAAATAGGCAAATAGAAAGGATCTATACTCACATGGCAAGACGCAGGCCAATAGAGAAGCATGACAGAATGAAGACGTCACCGTGTCCATTTAATTCTGGCACAAATATCCAAGAGTTACAGCAACATGTCGGTTTGAAAGAAGGGCCTATGTATGCTTAAGACCAGAGTCCTGATCTGATCTGCTTGGACAGCACATCTTGGGCCATTTCAACATGAAGAAGTCTGAAGTAATTCCAGCAGGGCTGAACACCATTTCCCATCTCCCTTTGGACTGAGGGTTTGCTTTATTCTGTACTGGTGAAAGTCCTGGTGTCTGTCTCAGGACAGCCAGTTCCACAGGTACAAGCAAATGATGGGCCAACCCTGAAGTGGGAGATTGGTTGGAAACCAGTCCAGGAAGCTCTTAACTAAGAGCTAACATCCTAATTGCTGTTTCTCTCACTCCAGAGTGTGCCCCGTCCTCACTGCTTGTGGAAACCAAAGAGCCGTTTGAAATCGAATTTCTGCGGTTTCAAGTAGACATTCATAAAGCTATGTTGGAGAAATGTGCACTTGACTCAGGATGATTGTTACCATTTTCTGAAGACCTCTTACCGCCAAGCACTGTGCTAGATGTTTTACATATATTATCTCTAATTCTCCCAAGAACCCCATAGGAAGAACAATATTTTCCCATTTAATGGTTGGGAAAACTGAGGCCTAGAAAGGCCAAGTATCCTACCCACACTGCTTGCCCAGTTCTCTCGGGTATACCATGCTTTTTTCCCTCACTGGGAAACCAGTCTCAGTTTGAAAACCAAAGCAAAACTGGGTGAGTAGTTATTCTTGATGATTAAAACAAGTTGCCAGAACGACATGCATCATGATCAAATAATCTGAAAATTACCTAAGGTCATCCATCATAAACTGTCATCTTTCTGTTCTTATCCCAAACCCTCCTTCCTTCGCTGTCTCAGAAAATCCTATCTGGAAAAGAGTGGGTCTCATTTTGTCCCTCTGTCCCCAGGAGCTGGAGCCTCTCTATGCGCGGATCAACAGACCTAAGAAGTAGCATCGAGGTGAGCTCACGGCCGGTGCTTCAAGACTGGCATGGACATCAGCATCGCGACAGGCTCTCTTGTATTCTTCCACCTCACCTCATCTCACGACGAAATTCATGATTGCCCAATGGGACTCATTTGGAAGAGGGAACTAAGAGTTTTTGGCAACCAATGGCAGATAACTATGGCAGCACGAAAAAAAAATCAGAAAAGTATAAAAAAATTATACCCAACATTCAATCACAAATCAAGCAAATCATGCTTACCCGACAAATATTCTGAGCTCTTTTAGTGTGGGTTTAAGATGACCCAGTATGCAAAATCATAATTCTCTTTTTATTTCTTGACCTGTTGACCACTGTAAAGACATCAAGTGTGGAGTGACAGGCCTCAGAGAGTGACAACGGGGTTGGCACTGACTTCTTTTAGACAAAAGCAAGAGGTCCTCCGTGACTACAGTCTCCTCATCCATATGCCTTTTGACATATGACGATGTCTTTTCATCACAGGGCCTGGTCTGCCATTTATCCCCCTCTCCTTTGTCATGTTTGAAAAATTAATGGGTGTAAAAATTTTTGTATTGCTTTTGACTTTTTTTTAGTTATGGTGAGGAAATCTAACTGGAAAAGAAAAGCCTCATATGAGATGAATTTACTTGAAAATCACAAGACAAATAAGTGGTTATTTATGATCAAGAATGTTGCCAAAACAACCCTTTAGCTATTCCGCATCCTGGCGAAGAGAGACAGCTTTCTGTTGGAACCTTCATTCTGTGAGTAGGAAAGGACATTGGATCCCATTGATGAGAAGGATGGAAAACGCATCTGATTTTCTCAGAAGCTCTAAACTCTAAGTACCATAAAATGATATTTTTTATTTTTCCGATATCTTGCTGCTGTGATGCTATGCAGACAAGTGTCTTCTTCACGTGCCATTTTCAAAGAAAAGTCATTTGCCAAATAATTCTGGTACAATCCTGGTAATGTGGTTTTGGATCTTAAAACTGACCTTCTAGTGGAACAATGGTGAAATGAATATTCAGAATAACAAACTGATTCCAGGATCACAATGGTTCATCTCTATCTCTTTTTGTACATCAGAAAATTCAAATGGGATTTTTATTTTATAACTTGAAAGAAAAAAAAAAACCTTACCATTAAACTCTTTAAATATTTAAGGGAAATGGCTTTAAGGAGTTCTAATGAAAAAAAAATTGCCAGTTTTTTTTTTGTAAATATAAATGTTAATGAAAATGCTTTTTAATAATGCCATTACACTGTAGAGAAGGTAGCAGATTGAGTGCAGGATGTGACAAAGTTGATGGATGGGGCTCCCTCTCCAGATGTTATTGTGGAGCATATGGGAGGAAGCTGGAGTTCAGGGACAGCTGGCAGGAGCATGTGGCCTATCAGCAGCTAGTGAACAGGAAGGGAGCACGTGACCCCACCGTCGACTCCAGCCTTTCCACAGGAGTACCCGCTGTCGGCGGAAAACAAGAAAATGTTCACATTCTGAAGGCCTGGCCTTCAGATTCTGAAACTCCCTCCCACATCTTCACTCCCATCCACCCCCCCCCAATAGAGATCGCTGGACTGTTTGTATGTGAAACAGAAGAGTTTAAGCTTCCTTTTTTTTACACTTATGAGACAAAAAGTGCAGTGTTCAGTTTGTATGTTTAGCACATAATTTTCATAAAGAATCTATATATTTTTGCCCTACAGAGAATTGTTCTACAGGTCACGTGTGTTTTCCTGATGTTCCTATGCAGTTCCAGTATGTCGAATTTAGTGGTTTAACACTAAGGAGAAAGCGTTAGAGGACCGTCTGACTAACTGGATTTGGGGTTACCTGTTACTACTTCGTTTTCAAAGTGGGAAAGTAGCATTCTTTTGACACTGATCTGATTGACTTAAATAGGCCTGTCTACTGTGGCTCTTCCTACCAATAGAAAGTAAAGTGATTGGAAAGAAGGTATACTTGTTGACAAAGAGAAAATCGAAATCAAGGTAATCATTACTGCTCGAGCCCCAAATTGTACACCATCAGGTCACTGGAACGCGATTTTTTTTTTTTTTTCCAGTTAGGTCGACTGACCAAATGTCCTTAAGAATCTATGTCAATGTCATCTTAACGTGGAAGGTCCAAGGAACCAGAAAAGTAAGAAGGGCCGTTTATCCCCCACTGTAACTATCACCTGTTGGTCCACGTGATTTCTCCAGGAATGTGCATCCATTTTATAATTAACTCATCCTTTCACAGGAAGGGGACAATGGGAGAGGTGTGATGACCATGAGAGTCGTCCTGAAACTGGTTCGATTCTGTTTGCTGGGGATTGGGTAGGATAGGCTGTTCCCCTGAGGGAAATGGCTTCCGCTCCTCTGCTGTCCATGGTTCTGATTCTGACCAAGTGGTGCTATCTCTTCTCCCTCACGGTGGCTGTCTGGAGTTTGTCTTGCAGCATCACACCATTATACCGATTCTTTGGGTGGCTCGTGACACGTTCCGAGTGAATGCTGACTGATGTTGCTGTTTCGGGTACACCGTCTGGAGTTAATTTCCCAGCAGAAAGTGACAGCCCAGTGGACTTGTCATCACTCACTGAATGCGACTGGACGTGTAAACTGATTCTGGACTTAACAAAGATGCCGGTGTGATGCATGAAAGTGAGGGAAATAAACTTGAGATTTTTTAACTGCCATCCTTGTGATCATTGGCAGAATTCTGAGTTTTAACGAGCGCTGTTGGGTGAGCTCAGAATCACCATATCCTATCCCAAGAGTACAGTGGAATTCCCAAGTAAGAGCCGAGGAGCCAGTACCAAAAGGCCATGGGGAGTCTGCCCAGTTCTGGTTAGATCGATAGAAAAATCTGTGTGTGCAACTGTTAATTCCTCATCCTTCACTAGCACTAAATTTGTCACTTTAAATTTTGAAACCAGGGAAACGCCACCTGTCATTCTGTCCCCATGACCCGTAGCTCTTTGATCTCCCCATACCACAAGACTTCCTTTATGATCCGTACTCATCCCAGTGTCTACTGAAACCCCATCATGTCATGTACCGGGCACCTTCTTTAAAAAAAAAAAAAAATAATGTTTACTCTGTGGGTTTGGTTCATTTCAATTTCTGCGTTCTGACACATATTTTTTTAATAAAGATGAGAAAGAGAAAATGACTGTTTGCAGTACATTTCTAGACCTACTTTAACTTTACCTCAGATGACAGTTTGTTAACATATATGGACACATTATTTTTAACTTTATGTACAATACATTCAACAACAGTGAAATTTTTAGAAATTTTCCATTAATTTCTGTAACACGCCATGTATAACTGTTAACAAATAAACATGTTTGAGAACAACAGCTTAGCCTGGTTTTATTCCACGAGTTTCCACTGGATACTTTGGCAAAGGATTTGGAAGATGAAATTGCTTCTCTGTAAGCTTCCATCTGACCGGGCAAAGACCTCAGTCTTCCTGGCACTGGGCCAGAAAGAGAAAGCTTCATGGAGTAGTTAGATCAGCTCATCTTCCATTGACTTCAGACACTTGGAATGCTTGGAGAAGAATTACAGTGAAGAATGAGGAGAATGTGGTCAGAAGTCACACCCTGTATCGTTGTGTTGTTTGGACTTCCAGGTAGCACCAGTCTTCCAAAATTGAGAAAGACCCCAGGACTAGATCTGTGAGTTGTGTCTTCCTCTAAAAAACACCTGCTAAACTGTTGGTTTGAACACCAAGGTTAATCTTCACCCTCAGAGTGTGCCTTCATTCAATGCAAGGTCTTCTGCTTTAAGGGACCCAAAGAAGGAAGCCTATATCTTCTTTCATATTCCCACACATACTCCACATCAAAAAAAAAAAAAAAATGAGACAACATAAGACCCCCCCAAAAAAATATAGTTTTACCCTGGACCTTGACTCTTATGTGTATTGAAGAACAAAGGGTAAATGTGTATATGTGTATATATGTATATTTACACATGTATGTGTGATTGTGTATGTGTGAGATTTTTATTTAATTTTATAACTAAATTAGTTTGTCTTTCCAATAATTATGCAGATTACAGATTGCAATTAGATCACTGAGTTGCCAAAAAAAACACCCCTGTCTAGGAATGGTTATGTTCATGATTGCATAGACACATGTTCTCAGTGTGACCTCATTATATAAAAAGCATTAGCAGAAGTTTTGGCCACACTGAGAAAATGAGGAGATGGGCCAAAATTTCAATAAAATAAATTTGAGGCAAATAGAAGAAGCAACTTTCATACAGTAGAAAATGCTCACTCCTGGATCAAATTGCTACAAAATGTTACACAAGCTCTTCTGAATAAGAGTGGCTTACACTTTTTTTTTTTTTAAGATTTTATTTATTTATTTGTCAGAGAGATACTGAGAGTACAGGCAGGCAGAGGCAGAGAGAAAAGCAGGCTCCCTGCAGAGCAAGGGGCGCGATGTGGGACTCGATCCCAATCCCAGGATGTCAGGATCATGATCCAAGCCGAAGGCAACCGCTCAACCAACTGAGCCACCCAGGCATCTCGAGTGGTTTACACTTTTTGAGCAACTAATAATGTGCCTGGGAGGGGCTATATGCTTTTTGTCCATTGCCTCAGTTACTTTTCTAAACAACATGGGTAGGTATGTATCTTCCCAAATTAGAGATTTAAAAAGACACAAAGAGATTGAGTAACTTCCCCAGCCAGCAAACGGTAGTTGAGGTTTGACTTTTGAGTCTGTTTACTCAACATAGTTGATTTTAATTGTAAAGAATAGTTGGATATCCACTCATTTAAATAGTTCTGCACAAACAGTATTGACTTTCTCTCCCAGAACTTCAGTTGATCTTTGGTAATAAGTTAGATTTCTAAGTTCCTCCGGTTTAACGTAAAAATAAAAATGCATTTGATGTTACCATCTTAAGTATGTGGCTAAATACATAATTTATTTTTTAATTGCACTTTTGAAAGGGTATATGTCTGAAGGATAAAGAATATACCTTTTGGTCCTACTAGTTTCAGTTTAGCTGAAACTAAGCCCTGGTGATTTACTTTTCCAGTGTAAATGAATCCTAAAGAAGCGACAAATTAAGAGGTGTCCTATTTAACTGCTAGGCGGATGCCAAAATAAATCAGGCAGACAGATCTGCTTTCATTCTGTGCTGGAGAGCAAACCCTTGTTGTTTTGACA